TCTAATGCGAAACGAATTCTTTTCAAAAATAGCTTAGCTCTTATCTCAGAGAAAATCAGATATACGCACCGAACTAGATCAGTTAGACAAAACACTCTATAAATCACACTTATCATTGACGGCAACAATGTCCACATCGGATCAGGAACATGTAGACAATATGACTGGCTCTTCAGCTGCTACTATGTCGACCAAATGTAAGGACAACCTGATTTCCAAATTTAACCTCCTCTTCAACAAAAGACCGGACCCACACACCAAAAAGCTAGACGTTAACAAAGGCGTAATTAATCGCAGTAACAGTTTTATTTCCGATGGTCTGAAATCCGTTTTAGCTAAAGGTCTAAACTTTGTAGTCACACCTAAACACATACCAGTTAATGATATAATTGCCCAAGTAGACGTTGCTCTCAGGGGCCTGGGTCACATTGCTGCAGACGTAGCAAGATCTGAAATCGCTGCAACCCTCAAAAACGCTAAGATGCCAGCTAGCAACCTCAGCAAAGATGAGCGTTTTGAATTATATGAATTAAAAAAGAGGGATGACTGTAGTACTCTCAGCTGACAAGAGCAATGCTACTGTCATCACGGATATTATAGAATATAACAACAAAATTAAAAAATTACTCGACGATGGTAGCTATACAAAAATAAAAAGAGATCCCACCAACAGCCTCGTCACACAAACCAACAAAATAATTTCTGACTCAACCGCATTAATTGATCAATCTAAACAGTTTTCATTGAAACCTTCTGCTGCCAGGCCACCAAGATTAAACGGCTTACCAAAAATACATAAAGTAGATACACCCCATCGTCTCTACTATCAACTCCCCCACATACAAACTGGCTCGTTTTTTGTCTGAAATCCTGCGTCCTTTCACTGGAAAAACCACCTCTGCGGTACAAAATTCTACTCACCTGGTTTCGACAATCAAGGGTGTTTCCCTGTCAAAAAGACGACCTGCTTGTCAATTTTGATGTAGTTTCCTTATTCACCAAAGTTCCTGTACCTGACACCATCACAATCATTGAAGACTTGGTTCATCAAAGACTAAACACTGAGGTACCCCCTCTGGTGAGACACTGTTTAACCAATACGTACTTCACTTGGAATGGAACTTTCTACAAACTAACTGAGGTCACCTCAATGGACTCCCCCCTATCTCCGGTTATAGCCAACATTTTCATGGAGAAATTTGAGACTGACGCCATCCAGACTGCCACTCTGTGCCCAACCTTATGGAAGAGGTACGTGGATGACACTTTTGTCATCTGGCCACATGGCCGGCCTGCTCTAGACCAATTCTTCGACCACATCAATTCCATACACCCAGCCATCAGATTTACCATGGAAGTTGAAAAAGATGGCAAGCTACCTTTTTTGGATGTCCTAATAAAAAAGAGACCTGATGGTTCAATGAGCCACTCTGTCTACAGGAAAGCTACCCATACGGATGCTTATCTGAAACCGGATTCCCACCACCATCCATCACAGAAGAATTATCTCGTCAAGACTCTGTACCATAGAGCCCAATGCATATCCGACCAGGAACACATAGGCAGTGAACTCAAGCACGTACACAAAGCTCTTAAGGCTAATGGTTACTCCGACTACACAATCTGCAAAGCTATCACTCAAACCATGAAGAAGGACCCTCTTGAGGAGCCTTTCAAAACCATCACTTTACCCTACATTGCGGGGATCACAAAAAAGATCTCCAAAATCTTGAATAAACACAAGATCCAGGTCCGTTTCAACACATTGCATAAAATCCGTGATCTGGGTCCGTCTGTAATAGATGTGATTCCAGACATACAGTACCCTGGTGTCTACAAACTAAGTTGCCTCTATGGTAGTAGTTACATTGGAGAAACCAAACGCCATGTCTCGGACCGCATTCGTGAACACAAAGCAGACCTTAAATACGGTAGGACCAACACCTCGGCTGTGGCAGATCATTGTTATAAGTCAGTAGGCTCACATGACATTGACTTCTCCAAGACAGAGGTTCTTTGTAAGCCATCTGTCTACCATGAGAGATTCGTTCATGAGGCTATCCACATACAAGCACAGAGACAATTTCAACTGAGAAGATGGATTCTGGCTTAGCAATCATTGGAAGGATTTGATAAACCATTTCAGGTCTTAATTGATTGTTCACGCTTATGGTGGCTTTCAGACAGCATACATTAATTTTTCGTCTCCCCCCTCCTCTTTTCAGAACATAGATGGACTCGTCCTTCTAAACAAACTGCCAAATTGCTGCCCGTGGTGCTAACGGTTTTATTTTAATAAATAAAACACCGTTTAAAAATAAATAAATACATGGAAACCGCCACTTCTTTCAAATGTTTCTTGCCCTTGCTTTTCACACCTGATGACGACAGTTTGTGTTATGGTCGAAACGTTGTGAGAATTTTTATTGTTTTATATATATTTTATTATTTTATTGTTTCGCTTCAACGTGACTTTACCAAAAGAGCTAAGAATACATTTATTATATTGATGTAATTTAGACTTACTTTTTTCACATCGGTTTACTGTATGATAGTTGGGTAGTTACAGCCCTTTAGTGTCCATATAATAAATGCCTCTGATATGTAAACTTTGACTTTAACATAGCTATTTCTGAGACCAGTCACAAGCTAATCCCTCAGCTATTTCAATGCTTAATTCTCCTGTTTGATATGTAAACTCCTTTGTCAAGGCGCTTCACTTCTCTCACCTAGCTTAAAAGACGCTACGAATCTTAGCAGCGTTCATTGAAGCGCTGTCGTCCCGACAGTTCTGTTCCTTCACCTGAAGAAGGCTACTTGTGTTGTGGCCGAAACGTCGTGAGAATTTTATTGTTTTATTTTTATTACTTTGTTTCCATTCTACGTGACTTTACCGAAATAACCAAGAAGATGAATCCCTGCAGTCACGAAAGCTTTAAATCGAAATTTTAACTTTGTATATTTTACCAGGTAAGGTCCACTTAGCTATGTAGCTCTTTTTCAGTAGTGATCTGTCCACAAATGATAGCTCAACGAAGTGGCCTATTATCATGTGGAAATCTATAGCAGCCGAGTACTCTAAATGCATGTTTCTAAACGTGGACGGAAAAACCGGAAGACCCGGAGAAAAATCCATGCCACCACGAGGAGAGAGAACATGCACATTTCAAATATACACGTGTCAGGTTTGGGATGGAGCCCACGACCTTCTGTATACAAGGCGAGGTAATTAACATCTCACCACCATGGTGCCCCAAGGGAGCAAACTAAAACCCTACAAGTAAACGGAATATACACGTGGCATATGAGCTGAAGCACTCAGCTTCCACCGCACAATGCTCCACTGCCGCCCGTTGACGGCTGAGGGGCGCAGCCTCCCCTTGTTACAAACGTCCCCATCTCAAGACTTCTTCACCCACGCCCCTCATATTGAAGCTCCGTAGGAAGGGTATAGGAAGGGGCAGGGGGGGGGGCATCTTGTCTCAAATTCCCGTTCCCCTCCCTTTGAGCTTGTGGCTTAAATGCTCAAGCCCTGATTGGGCTGGAAGGGTGTTGCACCACTTTCCACAAATGGGACTTTTTTTTTGGACACACATAGACCCATAGACTAACATAGAGACCCATAGACTCACAGAGGCCCATAGGTTCACACAGAGACCATTGAATTATGGAGAGACACATAGACCTATAGACTCGCACATGGACCCATAGACTCACAGAGACCTATAGACTTACAGAGACCCATAGATTCACACATAGACCCATAGACGCACATCGAGACCCGTAGATTTTCACATAGACCAATAGACTCGCATCGAGACCTATAGACTTACAGAGAGAGAGACACAAAGACCCATATACTCACACAGAGACCCAGAAACTTACAGAGAGACACAGTGACCCAGACTCACAGAGATGCATAGACTCACAGAGACACATATACTCCCACAGAGGCCTATAGACTTACAGAGATAGATACGGAGACCCATAGACTTACAGAGAGACACAGAGACCCATAAACTAGCACAGAGACCCATAGACTCGCACAGAGACCCATAGACTGACACAGCGACCCATAGACTGACACAACGACCCATATACCCGCTCAGAGACCTACAGACTCACAGAGACCCATAGACTCACAAAGAGTCCCATAGACTCACAAAGAGTCCCATAGACTCGTAGAGAGTCAGAGGCATATAGACTCGCAGCAATCCATATACTCACTTAGAGATCCATAGACTCGCAGAGACCCATAGACTCGCACAGAGACTCTCATACTTACAGAGAGGCACAGATACCCATAGACTCACAACATAGATCCATAGACTTACATAGACTCGCACAGAATCCCATAGACTCGCAACGAGGTCCAAAGACTCACACAGAACCCCGCAGACTCGCAAATATACCCATAGACTGACACAGAGACCTATAGACTCATACAGAGACCAATAGACTGACACAGAGACTCAGACTGACACAGAGAGCCATAGACTTACAGAGAGACACATAGATCAATAGACTCACAGAGACCCATATACTCACTAAGAGTCCCATAGACTCGCAGAGACCCTTAGACTTACAGAGAGGCACAGATACCACTAGACTCACAACATAGACTTACAGAGAGACACCGAGACATATAGACTCACACAGAGACCCATAGACTTATATAGAGACCCATAGACTTACAGAGAGACACAGAGACCCATAGACTCACAAAAAGACCCATAGACTTACAAAGATACCCAGAGACTCGCATAGATACCCAGTGACTTACACAGACCCAGAGACTCACACAGAGACCCATATACTTACAAAGAAACACATAGATCCATAGACTCACAGATACCCATATACTTACACAGAAACCCATAGACTCGCATAGAGATCCATAGACTATTACAGAGACATAGATAGACGCGCATAGAGACCCATAGACTCACACAGAGACCGATAAACTAACTCCACCCGAACCCTGCTCCCTTTGCGAGCAGCATCGCAGCGATGTCCATGGAGCTGTACATTGCCGTGTGCCTTCCCCTCCGCCACGCGCGCCTCTGCAACCTCCGCTCGGCCTATGGCTGCCTCGCCACCACCCTGGCGCTGGGAGCCGCTCCGGCGCTGGCTCGGCTCGCGCTTGAGATCTTGAGCAGCGCCAGCCAAGGCACCGCACTGCTGCTCTCTACCGTCTTCTCTAACAGTATTCAGGGGGGCGGCGGTGCCGCCTCCGGCCCCGGCTCCTCGGTCGCCGCCAACGGCAGCCTCCAAGCGGCCACGGGAGCGCCAGGTGAAGTGCGACAGAAACCTGTCAGACCATCAGGCACACCGCCCCTACTCATGTCAGAATCAATATCTGTATTTATACTGCACCATAGACTCAGCACTGCACTGTAGATTCAACACTGCCTATAGACTGAATACTGCCCATAGACTCAACACTGGCCATAAACGCAACACTGCCCTTAGACACAACACTGTCCGTAGACTGAGCACAGCCCGTAGACTCAACGCAGGCCATTCACTCAACACTGTAGACTCAATGATGATTTAAAAGTGTATCTCCAGTAGCTTTCTAATAGCGGAATGAAGAGCGTTCTACATGTCTGCAGACGCGCATATGAAAGTGGCTAGCCAAAAGTGTAGTGTATAGTGCAGTGTAGTGTATAGTAGTGTAGATTGTAGTGTATAGTCTATAGTAGTGATAGTGTATAGTAACGTCTATATTTTTGACCATTGCGACTCGGTTGGACTCCCGTTCAGACAAAAACCCACACACACAGCAATGATCTGCGATCCCTAACCCCTAGCTCTGCTGAGCAGCGCGGCCCAGATGGCATCCATCGAGCTGGCTCTGAACATGCTGAGGCAGGTACCAGCCGTGTTGGTGCTGGTGCTGGCCTACCTCTGCGTGATCGGGAGCTACGTGCTCGTGTCCAAGGAGTGCCGGAGGGTCTCGCAGCGAGGGAGGACGAGGAATACGATCGGCGGATTCCAACAAAAGTCCAAGAACAGAAATCTCGGCTCCCTAGAGGCACCTCTGCCGGGCGACAAGGGAGCTGGAGGCAAGCAGGGCGCTCCGTTGGAGGTGATCGATCGTTCGTCGTGTGGTCGCTTTTGTGCCACGGTAGCGAGATGTTAACTACCTCGCCTGGTATACAGGAGGTCGTGGGTTCGATCCCATTCCTGACGCCTGCTGTATATTTGGAGTTTGCGTGTCTCTCTCCCTGTAATCACGTGGATTTTTCTCAGGGTCTTTGGTTTTTCCCCTCCACATTTAGAAACATGGGTTTAGTGTTTGGCTGCTATAAATGCCTGTGTGAGAAGCCACTTCATTGGGTTATCTTTTGTGGCGGATAAATTCTGAAAAAGAGCCTGTGTAGCTCCAAAGGGCCTTACCTGGTGAAAATGCAAATAATAAAAAAATAGCCCAAGTCTCTCCCCGCCCCCCCCCCACTCTAAACCCAGGAGCACAGAAGTTCTGGACTGATGTCCGCGGAGTTTCTGTAGTCCCTCTGCTTCGCGGTTTGTGCTCTCTACTGGGCTCTGTTCTGGGCTCTTTATTTTTAAATTGATGGCTTAATGACACATTTAAAAAAAGAGCTACACAGCTCAGTTGGCCTTACCTGGTAAAGTAAAAACATTTTCGTTGATAGTTTTAGTTTCGTTTCATTGGTTGTGTCGGGTGGTGGTGGCGGGTTTATTGACACTGATATTTTACGCGATCTCCCCCCTCCCTCTCCCCCCCCCCTGACCACCCCTTCGCCAAAATCCCAAAGTCCCAAGACGCCCCCGAGGACAGCAAGAACCCGAACCGCGCACGCAACACAATAGGCATCCATGCGGTGCAGCTCACGCTGTACCTGAGCGCTCTCTACTACCCCTACATGCACGGAATCATCGATGGCACGGTGGCCGTGCAGGAGTGGCGTCTGCGCTACCGGGCTCTCGTCTTCCTCCTCTGCTTCGTCCTCCCGCGGGCGCTCTCTCCCGTCGTGCATGGAGTGCGGTGCCGGGAGCTGCGAAGAGGCTGGCGCAAAAGGATCGGAGTGGCAGGAGCGGGAGGAGGACTGGGAGGAAGAGGAGTGGGCGGTGGAGGAGGAGGGGAGGGAGGGAAGCAGGGAGATTGAGGAGGAGTAATGGGGTCAGAACGTGGATGGAACGTGTAGCATGAGAGAGTGTGTGTAGTCTGTTTCTTCTTTGGTACCCGTTATGTAGTTTAAGCAGATCATAATACTCAGGATGGTCTCGAAACGATAAGTAAATGACTGTGAATACTGGACATCTAAATTTCGATTTAAAGCTTTCGTGACTGCAAGGGTTCATCTTCTTTGGTTCTTTCGGTAAAGTCACGTAGAATGAGAATAAAATAATAAAATAAAACAATAAAATTCTCACAACGTTTCGGCCACAACACAAGTAGCCGTCCTCAGGTGAAGAAACAGGACTGTCCAGAAGACAGCGCTTGAGTGAACCCTGTCAAGCTTGACAGCATCTTTTAAGCTGTGTGGGAGGAACAGAGAGCCTTGACAAAGGAGCATGTAACTGGAGATTAGCATTACGGAGAGCGAACGAGCTGGGACTGGGGAGGGGGAGTTTACATATAAATTACCATGTAACTGGGGGATCAGCATTATGTGTGAGGGATTAGCACCACGGCGAACGACGAGCTCGGACCGGGGGACGGGGGTAGAGGAAGTTTACATATAAATTAGTATGTAACTGGGGATTAGCGTTGGTGTAAGGGAAAGAAGAGCACAAAGGAGAGAAAAAATGGCGGTTTATCCCATCTCCTCAACAACCAGCACCAAGGACAGCGACATTCAGGTGGACGGGTCAATCCATACTCGGAAGAGAGGAGGGGGGAGGGAGAAACAGTCACAATGCCAGCGAAAGAGCTGCGGTCTGACGGTCACCGCAAAATACAATCAATGAAGAACCGAAATGGTTTAAAACATCTTTCCAATGGTTACTAAGCCAGAATCCATCCTCTAGGTTTAAATTGTCTCTGTGTTTGTATATGTGGATGGCTTCATGAACGAATGGTAGCCGGTTGGCTTGCAAAGAATATCCGTCTTGGAGCAGTCAATGTCATGTGAACCCACTGAATTATAACAGTGATCTGCCATGGCAGAAGAGTTCATCCTGCCGTGTTTCAAGTCTGCTTTATGTTCGCGGATGCGGTCCGAGATATGTCGTTTGGTTTCCCCAATGTAGTTGCTACCACAGAGGCACTTTAGTTTGTAAACGCCCAGGTACTGTATGTCTAGAACAGCACATTTTACAGATGGAACCAGATCACGGATTTTATGTACTGTGTTGAATCGGACCTGGATCTTGTGTTTATTCAGGATTTTGGAGATCTTTTTAGTAACCCCTGCAATGTAGGGTAAGGTGATGGCTTTGAGTGGCTCCTCAAGAGGATCCTTCTTCATGACTGGAGTGATGGCTTTGCGGATTGTGTAGTTGGAGTAACCATTATCCCTGAGAGCCTGGTGTACGTGTTTGAGTTCACTGGAAATGTGTTCCTGGTTGGAAATGCATTGAGCTCTATGGTATAGAGTCTTGATGAGGGAGTTCTTCTGGGATGGATGGTGTTGGGAATCCGGTTTCAAGTAAGCATCTGTATGGGTAGCTTTTCTGTAGACAGTGGCTCATTGAGCCATCAGGTCTCCTTTTAATTAAGACATCCAAAAAGGGTAGCTTGCCATCTTTATCGACCTCCATGGTAAATCTGATAGCTGGGTGTATGGAATTGATGTGGTCACGGAATTGGTCTAGGAGCAGGCTGGCCATGCGGCCAGATGACAAAAGTGTCATCCACGTAACCTCTTCCATTAGGTCGGGCGTAGAGTGGCAGTCTGGATAGCGTCAGTTTCAAATTTTTCCACGAATACGTTGGCTACAACCGGAGACAGGGGGGAGCCCATTGGGGTGCCCTCCGTTTTTTGTAGAATGTTCCGCTCCAGGCGAAGTATATGTTGGTTAAGCAATGTCTCACCAGGGGGGGTACATCAGTATGTAGTCCTTGATGGACCAGGTCTTCAATGATAGCGATGGTGTCAGGTACTGGAACTTTGAACAAGGACACCACATCAAAACTGACAAGCAGGTCGTCTGGGGACAGGGAAATGCCTTTGATTGTCGATACTAGGTGAGTAGAATTTAGTAACGCAGAGGTGGGTTTTCCAGTGAAAGGTCGCAGTATATCAGCAAGAAAACGTGCCAGTTTATAGGTGGGGGAGTTGATAGTAGAGACGATGGACGAAGGGTGTATCTTCTTTGTGTATCTTTTGGAAGGCCATATAATCTTGGAGGTCTGGCAGCAGAGGGTTTCAACGAGAACTGTTTGGTCTGATCAATTAATGCTGTTGAATCGGATATTATTTTGTTCGTTTTGTTAACCAGGCTGTTGGGTGGGATCTCTTTTAGTTTTGTATAGCTGCCGTCGTTGAGTAGTTCTTGAATTTTGTTGTTATATTCTGTTTTGCCCATGATGACAGTGGCATTGCCCTTGTCGGCTGAGAGGACGACAATATCATCTCTCTTTTTAATTGGGATAATTCAAAGCGTTCATCTTTGCTGATGTTGCTAGGTGGCAACTTAGCGTTTTTGAGGGTTGCAGCGATATCAGATCTTGCTACGTCTGCAGAGATGTGACTCAAGCCCTTGAGTGCAACGTCTACATTGGCAATTATATCATTAACCGGTATGTGTCGTGTGTGACAGCATAGTTTAGGCCATTAGCTAAACGGATTTCAGGCCATCAGAAATGGGAACTGGTTACTGCGATTAATTACGACTTTGTTAACGTCTACCTTTTCTGTGTGTGAATCCGATTTTTGTTGGAGAGGTGATTGAATTTGGAAATCAAATTGTCCCTACATTTGGTCGACATAGTGGCAGCCGAAGAGGTAGTCATATTGTCTACATGCTCCCCCCCTGGTGAGACATTGTTTAACCAACACATACTTCGCCAGGAACGGAACTTTCTACAAACAAACTGAGGGCACCCCAATGGGCTCCCCCCTGTCTCCGGTTGTAGCCAACGTATTCATGGAAAAATTTGAAACTGACGCCATCCAGACTGCCAATCTACGCCCGACCTTATGGAAGAGATACGTGGATGACACTTTTGTCATCTGGCCACATAGCCAGCCTGCTCTAGACCAATTCCGCGACCACATCAATTCCATACACCCAGCCATCAGATTTACCATGGAGGTCGAAAAAGATGGCAAGCTACCCTTTTTGGATGTCTCAATTAAAAGGAGACCTGATGGCTCAATGAGCCACTCTGTCTACAGAAAAGCTACCCATACAGATGCTTACTTGAAACCGGATTCCCACCACCATCCATCCCAGAAGAACTCCCTCATCAAGACTCTATACCATAGAGCTCAATGCATTTCTGACCAGGAACACATTGCCAGTGAACTCAAACACGTACACCAGGCTCTCAAGGATAATGGTTACTCCAACTACACAATCCGCAAAGCCATCACTCCAGTCATGAAGAAGGATCCTCTTGAGGAGCCACTCAAAACCATCACCTTACCCAACTTTGCAGGGGTTACTAAAAAGATCTCCAAAATCCTGAATAAACACAAGATCCAGGTCCGATTCAACACAGTACATAAAATCCGTGATCTAGTTCCATCTGTAAAAGATGCTGTTCCAGACGTACAGTACCCGGACGTTTACAAACTAAAGTGCCTCCTGTGGTAGCAACTACATTGGGGAAACCAAACGACATATCTCGGACCGCATCCGCGAACATAAAGCAGACTTGAAACACGGCAGGACGAACTCTTCTGCCGTGGCAGATCACTGTTATAATTCAGTGGGTGCACATGACATTGACTTCTCCAAGACGGAGGTGCTTTGCAAGCCAACCAGCTACCATGAGAGATTCGTTCATGAGGCCATCCACATATACAAACACAGAGAGAATTTCAATCGAGAAGATGGATTCTGGCTTAGTAACCATTGGAAATATGCTTTAAACCATTTCGGTTCTTAATTAATTGTATTTTACAGTGACTGTCAGACTGCAGCTCTTTCGCTGGCATTGTGACTGTTTCTCCCTCCCCCCTCCTCCTTTCCGAGTATGGATTGACCCGTCCGCCTGAATGTCGCTGTCCTTGGTGTTGGTTGTTGAGGAGATGGGATAAACCGCCATTTTTCTCTCCTTGGTGCTCTTCTCTCCCTCACACCAACGCTAATTTATATGTAAACTCCTCTCCCCCCCGTCCCCCGGTCCGAGCTCGTTGTTCGCCGTGGTGCTAATCCCTCGCACCAACATCATACTGATCTCCCAGTTACATGCTAATTTATATGTAAACTCCCCTCCTCCAGTCCCAGCTCGTTCGCTCTCCGTAATGCTAATCTCCCAGTTACATGCTCCTTTGTCAAGGCTCTCTGTTCCTCCCACAGCTTAAAAGACGCTGTCAAGCTTGACAGGATTCACTCAAGCGCTGTCTTCTGGACAGTCCTGTTTCTTGCACCTGAGGACGGCTACTTGTGTTGTGGCCGAAACGTTTGTGAGAATTTTATTGTTTTATTTTATTATTTTATTCTCATTCTACGTGACTTTACTGGACATCTGTGATGACTTGACATCTGTGAAAAAGAGCTTCATAGCTCATCGGATTCCTCCAGTCTAAATAAAGAGTATCAGTCTATATTAAATAACTGTGGAGGCAACAGCAAACAATCTACCAATCTTGATTTGAATCTACCAATAACTATGACCGTCTCTGGACTAATACGACCTTCAGCTGTCCACTGTGAGCGATGATGACTGCAGAGAACGGCGAGCAGCAGCATTACGAGCAGGTGAGATGAGAGCCCAGTCCTTGAGCAGAAGCATCACCGCATTGTGGGCAAGAGTTGTTGCTCGTCCACTGAATTCGATCTGTGTTGTGCCACTGCTGGTGTTTATGCTGAAAAAAAACTATTTCCCCTTTTATCTTCAACCCTCTTTGACTTAGCCAGCTTGCAGCCACTTCTGCACTGCTTACCGTTGGCTCTGACATTTTCTCCCACGTGTCCACATTCATATTTGGCTGTCTTGAGCTGTTATTTTAAGGACGTCTTTGTAGCGCAGTTTTTGGCCACCAGGAATACGCGTTGTCCTTTTTTGAGTTCACCGTAAAAGGAGCCGATGTTCTGGTATTCGAGTTACGTTGTCCTGCACATCTTAACTGAGAGGAGGTCACTCTTGCCTTTACACTGGGGATCCAAGCTCTCGCCAGCACCTCTGTAGGCTCACATGACATTGACTTCTCCAAGACGGAGGTTATTTGCAAGCCATCTGGCTACCATGAGAGATTCGATCATGAGGCTATCCACATATACAAACACAGAGACAATTTCAACCAAGAAGATGGATTCTGGCTTAGCAATCA